ATTTCACGTCTATGCATACTGGTGCATATTGACCACTGTCGACCAACGCCGTATCAGATATTTACTCAACCAATGCTGTAACTAATTTTGGTATTGGTACTTTATTGAGTTATTGTATATGCTACGAAACTAGCCAATAGCAAAGAGTTTCCTTATTGCTAGGTTTTCAAGCTGTCTTTAAGTCAAGTGTGTGTGTAGATTATTTATGACAATAAATAGAGTTCACACAAGAATTTGTAAACGTAAAAAAACACCAAATAAGTATTAGAACATTAAAGTAAAAAAACAACCAGGATTGAGAGACTGACTTAGATTCAAACAACGTGTCATATTTAGAGGCGACTAACGTGATCGGGTGGTCAGGTTCACTGGCTTGGTCGACGCATATCATCGGTTCTTAATTGCGCAGATCGATGCTCATGCTGTTGATCACTGGATTGTGACCGCCGCCATATAGCTGGAATATTGCTGAGTGCGGCGTAAAACTAGACTCATACGCTCACTCATATTTAGATATTATCCCTTTTACCTCGATTAAATACTTTAACTTAAAAACTATAATTGATTCATGTCTTAGTTGCACGATCCAGAAAATGTAGTAAAACCACAAGGATCTTACGAAGCTGGCAACACTTGCCATGCCTCCACACTTACCTGCCAGGAATTCTCCTCCATTGATATAGACCATGTTGACACTCTTCCCTAGGTTCATCAGGCTGACAATAGAGGGTGATGTTTCTGGTCTGGTATCCTCCGCCACATGTCTCTGAGCACACACCCCAGTCTCCTCCATCCATGTCACAGTCAGAACATCCAAGCACATATCGAATGCCATAGCAAAGAGCAAACGCCATACCCCTACACGCAACATTGTTCTGTGGTCTTACGACATGCTGACTGAGAAGAATTTGCGGTACGTCTTTATCGACGTAATTTGAAGAGGTTCATTTACGACTGTTTGCTTTCTTTCGAACACCTTGGTTTTATTACCTACATTTGGAGTATTAGAATACGTGCACCCAAGCTGCATGAGGGAGGCCTGTAAATCATAGACACACCACTCTGTCAGGGCACACTGAGAACCAAACAGGTCACCGCGCCTGACCGACCTATCCTTAAAGTCGCTTCTGATGACAAGTATAGTATGCTAGGGATCATTTCTAAAACAGTAAGTGAGTTGGGTTTTACGTCGCTGTTAGCAATATTCCAGCAAGATCACGGTGGAGTTCACACTTTCTTCCCTTTGGCGTGACGAGCGAACGCTTTAACCACAAGGCTACCCCCATCGCCCCTTTTCTAAAATCAGAATCACTAATAGATTTCCAACAGAGTCGCCTCGCTGAGCCAGCCAGCGATTTTTACCCAAGGTAATCACATAGATCTCTCATGAGAATGTTTTATGTCACTCTTAAATAATCTCTGGTGGTTCTGAATTGTGTGTACATGTGAACGATGTCATCTCGGAACCAACTTTAATGACTGCTATAACACACACTAACATTCTTAACTATGTCAATTGCAGACATTTGACAGACAAGCACTTTAATGCCACAATACACATTTTTGAATCACAAAGTGCAAACATGATGTTTACATATCATGACAAATTGATTCAAAATTATTACAATAGCAGTACAAAATTTAACGCCAGTATCAAACAATATAGCCGTGGCAATAGCAACAAAGTCTGTGATGAAAATATTCACCAAGGAACAATGAGCAAGCTTCCAAATAGGCCTAGGCTGATCGTGGTGAAGTGCGAGATGAACGAAGCCAATCTAATGATGGATTAATAATGTTACAGATACTCGTTTTTCGCCATTCCTGTAAATCATAGGCACCGTTGATTTTGAGCCAGCCTTTTCATTACGTAAGCATTATTTACGGTTAAACAAAAGCTGAACAACTTCTTTGAGTGGCATGTTTAGAAGTTGGTGAATCGGATAAGACAAACTTTATGGATGAACAACTTCTTTGTTTGGATGATGCAACGTTTCTATACAGATTCTTGTATCTGTGATAATTGCTTGACAACGATACAAGATTCTGTATCGAAACGTCGCGTCATCCAAATAAAAAAGCTGTTCATCCATATTATTATAAAGTTTGTCCTTATCCAAAAGCTGAACAATCATGTCTATCGACAATGTAACTAATGCTATCTAGCCTTTTCCCTAGTACGGTGATCTACCTTCAGTTGTTGGCGATCTATAACCCATTTTACATTGCATGTCCAACAATACTTTTCTACTTTTAAAGATATATGCTAGCTAAGTTTAACTCAATCTGTGATAATCTAGTGGTTTTACTGTCCTTCGTTGACAGGGTTTTATATATCATATGTATGTATTATGAATTTAGAACTAGTTTTAGTCACGATATGGCTGAAATATTGCCGATGTGACTTTAAATCTTAACTCACTCACTCACTCATCTAGCCTTTACGTAGACACAACTATCGGATTTCCTCTAACATTGATGCACAATTTGGACATTAAGGCGAACGGTAGGCATCCCCAAAGGCTCCAAATGTGCTCCCCTTCTTGCAGATCTGTTTCAAGGAGTCGGAATTTCTTATCAGAAATACGTTATTTCTGTACGAATGTATGAACATACAAAGGGTTTTGTCGTTTTTATTAATTCAACACAGTGACACAAACCCTGAGATAAAAGCAGGAGGGTTCTCTATATAACTTTCCCACAACGAACTTTAACATCGAACATACAACTGAAGGTACCGGTACAATTGCAACCAGGGTAATACATGTATATGTATTGGTTTGATTAGTGGGCAATGTATATTATCATGATGTTGTTGGTATATGGGACCACACCTATCCACTTTGGATAACTTCCACAGCGTACATATATGACAACAAAGGTATGTGTATTTATTGCACTATCAAGCTCAGTGACGCAAAAGAGTCTACGGCCTACTGTATAGTTTCAAAACGTAATCAATTTGAACATAGCAAGGTTCGACATTTATCAATGCATGTCCCTTAATCAATAAAAATGAAATGAAATTGGGTTTATGCACCGGCACGATAAGCGTAGTCAAATAATATGTATTTGAAAGTAGATACTCGTAAAGAAATAATGTATGATACGAGAACATACGGGAAAGTGCCTATGCTCGAAGAATGTACAATTAAAGAAATGTTTAGTATGACAACAAACATTTCAAAGTGTACTATATAAGCAATATATATGAAAAGCTCTACTATAACATCATTACTCGTATCCATCACGAAACAACGTTCTGATATCAACACGTAATAACAGTAGTATGTGCTTCAAGGATTGAATAACTAAAGTCCCTACGTTTTTATGCGTCTTTGATCTCATTAAACGGTCGTTAAGATAGATGCAGAGAGTCCTGCTAAAATCAATATTACAATGTTCACGCACAAGATGTCTGTTGCGTCACAAACAGAAAATATATTTTAAATAAATAAAAGCGACAAAATCCTTTCCATATTCATAAGAAATCTCTGCTAAAAGCAGAGTCGGTTGTACAATTGTGACAATATATATCATGAGCAGATATTTGTTTCAGCAGTATAACAGCTCTACAATATGTTTTTTTATAAACAAATCGAGTCTGGACCAGACAATCCAGTGATTTATTTGGATATATGACCTGGATGCTGCTTTATACTGGGTATTTCCAACAGGGTGAGGGGCGGTGGGGGGTAGCCTTGTGGTTAAAGCGTTCGCTCGTCACGCCGAAGACCCGGGTTCAATTCCCCACAACGGTACAATGTATGAAGCCCATTTCTGGTGTCCCCCGCTGTGATATTGCTGGAATATTGCTAAAAGCGGCGTAAAACCAAACTTAGTCAGTCAGTCAGTCAGTCCTCACAACGGTACAATGTATGAAGCCCATTTCTGGTGTCCCCCGCTGTGATAGTGCTGGAATATTGCTAAAAACGGCGTAAAGTTAACTCACTCATCCACTCTTCCAGGGCTACTACTTGAAGGCCTAAACAAATACATTCTCTATCAGTGAAAGGCTTTCTCCACAGTATCAGCGACTCCCATCACTTCCCATCACAAGCGCTGGCTCCATCATCTCCTGAGATTAATGAATATTGGGGCAAACGGTAAATAGAGAGTCTGCCTGTCTTCCGTCTATCTCCCTTTATTTTGGTCTCTCTCACACAACCACATATGCTCTCTCTCTCTCTCTCTCTCTCTCTCTCTCTCTCTCTCTCTCTCTCTCTCTCTCTCTCTCTCTTTCACGCACGCACGCACGCACGCACACACACACACACATATATCCACACACATTTATTGTATATCGTATTGTTTATTCCGCGAAAATACTGGAAAGTCGAGTTGGAGCAACAAGGGAGGTAACTCTTGTAGCCTTTCAGTCGCCCCTGCCATAAAACAGACTTCAGTTTAATGGTTTATTTATCGTTTTGTCCAATGTGTTTCGGTACATCTGTGTTTCGGTACAAACGCATATAATTTAAGTCACCAAATCAGAAAATGTAATACATGTTCTTGTCGAATAAAACAGTTAATAGTGGGGAAATGAAACCTTAATGACATCTGGTGAAGATGTGCTAGTATTGTATGACAACGCACATAACTTTATTCAGCTATACTGGACACGGATACATTCCCTATTATGTAAACATATTATATGTTCACATTTATAAATCTATGCAAATATGAAACAAATTTATGTTATCACTATATATTGACTGCGTATATAGAGTTGCGAAGAATTGTGAAGATATGTCAGACATACAAGTAATGCAGGGGCGGATACAGCTTTTTGAGAAAGGGGGGGTGCACACTATTGAGAATAGGGAGGGTGCACACTTCATTTTCACCAGAGTTTCAATGGTCATTTAATAAACTTTCAGGACAAAAGGGGGGGTGCGCACCCCTGCACCCCCCCTCTGGATCCGCCTATTAATGGCGTTGTGCGCCGAGGATTGACATGCTGTAGGCCCTACTTTCGTTTTGTGTTTACAAAGACTGGTTGCACGGTGGCGTGGGTACATTGCGTCAGACGCTGTTGTAGGGACAACTTGTCAGTCCGTATATATACACAGGTCGACAACGTTGAAGTGAGAATCGTCATGGCTGACGCTAAAGACCCCAAAGTCCTGGAGGATGAGGTCACCCCCTGGACTGTCCAGAGCGTGTCCCAGAAAGGCGTGGACTACGACAAACTGATAGGTAGGACCCGTCCTTTACGTTGCATTGTTTTATGTTTCGCGGAAGAACGCAAATCCTACCAGCGGTCAGAAATTCATAAGAATTCAACTATGAAAACGTTAAATTCAAAAACAGTAAACAAAGCAGAGTTATTACAACTATTTTCAAAATGTCGTCATGTGATCGTAAAATTGCACGGGAAACGTCTTCAAGTGATTACAGATAATGGGACTCATTACTCATTACGCCATGAGGGTATTTTGTGTAGAACCTCAAGTATTGTTTGTGTGGGGGTTTTTTTTTCGATCAAGCGTGCACTGTAAAGTAAGCTGTCAAATCATAGGCTGAACGGAGTTATTGATGCTGAACTTATCCGCTGCTACAAGCACACTGGTCGTATCGAATTTAAATATGCAATTTACATGTCGTACCTGTCTTTGTCTAGCTCAAATATCAGATAATCGAGACGAGTGCAGAAAAAGCATTAAGCGTTATTCCCAATTCCTCGGGAATTGAAACCGAGAAGGTCCGGGTTAAAATGTACCTTCAGTAACCCATGCTCACTGCATTGTCTGGTCCAGATTCGATTATTTGCAGACCGCCGCCATATAGCTGGAATATTGCTGAGTGCGGCGTAAAACTTCACTAACTCACTCACTCGGGAAGCCGATTCGAAACAGGTTATATCAGAACGTATATACGTATGTACCAGGATTTATGAAAAAACATCATATACAAAATAATTTCATTGTATCTGTAAACATTTCTATATGATGGGTGTTCTAACACTGACTAAAAATCCAATTTATTTACAGTACATTTACATGCTTAAATATATTCTTTCTTTTCGAAATGAATAAGTAATAAATGTTAGTTATGCTCTCGAAGCCAGGTAATTAAGATTCATACAAGTGTTCAAGAGACTGTTGAATCACTTTCGGAAACTGCGGCAAGTTATGAAAAATTATATGTGTAAGAATCAAATTTTCAAGTTGTTAAAGTGTACACAAATTCTCCTTGTTTATGCCATTCAAACAAAAGGGTCGTGTCGATCATTCCTAAACTTTTTATGGTAGCTCCACGAACACCCGGTGTCAAAGCTAATTTTCACTGATACGTTAATCTGATGTTCACAGCTAGTTTGTATTGAATCAGTTTCGGAGGACAGTCAAGACTGGTTATTTTCTTGAGTTGTCTTATATCTATGTTGTTATGTTAACTATTGTATATGTTAGGTTTTAAAATACATTAAGTCGTGAAGTACAGGGGCTTTATTTCACAATCTTCTATAAATAAATATACAGTCTTGAAACAGTATGAGTTTGTTTATTACGGGATATTTGTTTACATACGTAATTTTCATTGACGAGACTAAAACTACGAACAGCGAGTATCAATTATTTAGGTACATGTTGTAATAGCTTCTAATATGACAAATATTTTTCATCTACATCTATTTTAAGTTAGTGTTTAAGACTCTATAATCTATACCATATTTGTATTGTATTGTATTTCAATTCTACCCTATGTCAATTTGAAAAGTGGATGTATCTTAAATTCGTGAAAGGTTCGTAATTTGTGTACTATATTTTCCTTACTTTGTATGCGTATAATGCCTAGAATATCTTTCCAAAGAACTAGTACGTAAAAATACAATTGTCCTTATGTTTTTTTTATAAAAATGGAAAAAAATATATTCTCGTGTGGAAATGGGTAGATATTAAACAACTCATTGTGATTACATAAGTCACTTTATCCATTTACTTTCCATAAATTGAGCAATTGAAAGGTGGAATAACCCAAGTATTATTTATCAACACCAATAAATAATAAGTTTTTAATAAGCCTGCATCAGGATGAGGAAATATGATAGAATGATGCGTATGTATTTGTAAAATATGTTATTTGATGATCACAATAAAACAATATTATTTACAAGTTATTTTATGGACTGTTAGTGTGTGTCTCTCAGGCAAAGTTAGCATTTCTTAAATTCACTCAAATTATTTGAAACAGATCGTTGTTGGGTTTGTTTTTTTATATGTGTCGGTCCGAAATGAGGCGCAGTGTATCGTTACCATGAACATCTTGAAATATTTGGTGAAACCACTCTATGAACAATGAACGTACGTGGAGGTAACGAATTAATTCCCTTGTATATTTCCTATTGGTTTCTAATGTATATATTTTCATCGAGTATGAAATGAAGTAACAAATTCATTTATGTCACTTTTAAGAGACCGGAAGGTGAAGTGCAGGAGCCTTATTTATTAAATCTGATGTGTCATGTTTTTGTTTATGTAGTTTCATTTTCCTAAATGTAGAACATATTCTGTGATACATCGCCTTATTCACACCATTTCGCTTTACTTCTAAGAATTATTCCCTTTACATTGTGCGTCATTATTTCTTATTCATCCCGGCCTTTGGTTTCTAAGAATTTTTCCACATAATGTAGCGTATAATATATTGATTACAGCTAATTTATGTTATTTTTGCCTGTTTCTTTTCATTATTCAGTTCTTTTTTGAGTATATTATATTCTTACTTAATTTCAGTTTAAATATTTTATTGTAAATTGGGTCATAATCAGAGTAACCTGAGTATGTTATGTCATCTAATTCATATGGCATATGATTTTCATTTACGCTTTCATAACGAATACATTTTCTCTCCAAATTAAAGTAGCGCTATTTTATTTTATTTTGTTGGGTTTTTTTTGTTCTTTTTCGTTTTTGGGGGTTTTTTTATGTTCCCAGTGTTACATCAGTGCATATACAAATACGTAAACTAAATAATTAACATATAATAAAGTAAACAAAGATATTTTTTCAAAATGGCATTCAGATCAAGATTTTTCAAAGGCAGTTGCTGCGTACACTGGTCAGTTTTGACTACTGGGAATAATGGGGTCATTTTATTCTTGCTTTTGGCAATGGAGCTTTCAACAGAAAAAGTATCTTTTATAAAGTTTATTTATTTACTTTATTTATAGCCGAAATGATTATATGATTAAGTAATGGGTTTTTACTTAAGGTAACAAAATACATCACACATTTTGATAAATTAACCTTTTGTATCAAATAGTTGTTAATCCAAATTTTAAGATTATTCCAAAACTTCATCTAACGTAACGTTATCAGATAATATTACGCTATAAGGTAGCATTCCATCATGCATGTATTTTATAATATCATTTATTTAGAATTTTACGTAGTGTAAATGCATATTTCACATGATTTTATTCGTGTATCTTTTATATTTTATGTTTTCTTATCTATTACTTCACTGGCTACTGTATTGTGATGTGTGGTTATGAGAATGTTTATTATTAAAATACAACCATTTTCCGTCTCACCAGATAAATTTGGCAGTGTAAGAATAACGGAGGACCTCATCAAGAGAATCGAACGTGTGACAGGGAAGAAACCACATCGTTTCCTCACAAGAGAAATATTCTTCTCGCACCGGTACTTTTATTTCATTTTCATGACATTGTAGTAGTAGTAGTAGTAGTAGTAGTAGTAGTAGTAGTAGTAGTAGTAGTAGTAGTAGTAGTAGTAGTAGTAGTAGTAGTAGTTGTGGTTGTGGTGGCGGTAGTAGTAGTAGTGAGGTGAGGTGAAATTGGGTTTTACGTCGTGCTTGAGAATATTTCGCTCATATGACGACGTGCATGCGTGTGTATGTGTATGTGAGGCTGCTTGTACTAGCCCAGACTTAAGCTGGTTTTATAGTGCTAGCTCACTGAGATACCATGCCGCAGTGAAGCATGAATACCCCACTCAAACACATTATACTGACTCCGAGCCGACCAGTCCTTGTTGTACCCATTAATGCCGAGCGCCAGGCAGGGACCAACAAGTACCATATTTTAACGTCTTTTGGTATGACGCTGTCGGGGATCGAACCCGCGACCTTCCGCTCTCCGGGCGGACGCTCTAACCACTACACCACGGAGGCGGTTAGTAGTAGTAGTAGTAGTAGTAACAGCAGCAGTAGTAGTAGTAGTAGTAGTAGTAGTAGTAGTAGTAGTAGTAGTACATGTAGTTATTGTTGTGGTGGTGGCGGTGGTAATAGTAGTAGTGAGGGAGTGAGTTTAGTTTTACGCCGCACTCAGCAATATTCCAGCTATATGGCGGCGGTCTGTAAATAATCGAATCTGGACCAGACGTTCCAGTGATCAAGAGCATGAGGATCGATCTGCGCAATTGGGAACCGATGACATGTGTCAACCAAGCCAGCGAGCCTGACCAGCATGGGTGTTAGTAGCAGTAGTAGTAGTAGTAGTAGTAGTAGTAGTAGTAGTAGTAGTAGTAGTAGTAGAAATACATGTAGTTGTTGTTGTTGTGGTGGTGGTGGTGGCGGTGGTAGTAGTAGTAGTAGTAGTAGTAGCAGTAGTAGTAGTAGTAGTAGTAGTAGTAGTAGTAGTAGTAGTAGTAGTAGTAGTAGTAGCAGCAGCAGCAGCAGTAGTAGTAGTAGTAGAAATACATGTTGTTGTGGTGGTGGTGGTGGTGGCGGTGGTAGTAGTAGTAGTAGTAGTAGTAGTAGTAGCAGCAGCAGCAGTAGTAGTAGTAGTAGTAGTAGTAGTAGTAGTAGTAGTAGTAGTAGTAGTAGTAGTAGTAGTAGCAGTAGCACCCAGCAACCCAGTAATATTTCAGCTGAATCGTTAAAAGTATGTAAGTTCTCCATTCTGGAAAAACATTTTAACTGACTGACATCTATCTATCTAGTAGTAGTAGTAGTAGTAGTAGTAGTAGTAGTAGTAGTAGTAGTAGTAGTAGTAGTAGTATGTAAGTTCTCCATTCTGGAAAAACATTTTAACTGATTGACATCTATCTATCTAGTAGTAGTAGTAGTAGTAGTAGTAGTAGTAGTAGTAGTAGTAGTACATGTAGTTGTTGTGGTGGTGGTGGTGGCGGTGGTAGTAGTAGTAGTAGTAGTAGTAGTAGTAGTAGTTAGTAGTTACAGCAGGTCGGTCGTTGTTGTTGGTATTGCAATTACAACTTCCTATGCCCCACACAGAGAGCTGGGGCAGGTCCTGGACATGTATGAGAAGAAGCAGCCCTTCTACCTGTACACCGGCCGCGGACCTTCATCAGAGGCCATGCACCTGGGACACCTTATACCCTTCATCTTCACGAAGTGAGTCAATAATGCATGCTATGATGGCATAGAGAACCTCATACCATTTATCTTCACGAAGTGAGTCAATAATGCATGCTATGATGGCATAGAGAACCTCATACCATTTATCTTCACGAAGTGAGTCAATAATACATGCTATGATGGCACAGAGAACCTCATACCATTTATCTTCACGAAGTGAGTCAATAATACATGCTATGATGGCATAGAGAACCTCATACCCTTCATCTTCACGAAGTGAGTCAATAATGCATGCTATGATGGCATAGAGAACCTCATACCATTTATCTTCACGAAGTGAGTCAATAATGCATGCTATGATGGCACAGAGAACCTCATACCCTTTATCTTCACGAAGTGAGTCAATAATGCATGCTATGATGGCATAGAGAACCTCATACCATTTATCTTCACGAAGTGAGTCAATAATGCATGCTATGATGGCACAGAGAACTTCATACCCTTCATCTTCACGAAGTGAGTCAATAATACATGCTATGATGGCATAGAGAACCTCATACCATTTATCTTCACGAAGTGAGTCAATAATGCATGCTATGATGGCATAGAGAACCTCATACCATTTATCTTCACGAAGTGAGTCAATAGTGCATGCTATGATGTCATAGAGAACCTCATACCATTTATCTTCACTCTTGTTCTAAGGTGACATGAAGTACTACCTCTGAGATCTACCTATGTTGGAACTAACGTGACAAGTTGGGTGAACTTTATATGCTTTATGGCACATGGTATTGTTAAACTGTGAGATAAATGAAATAGCTGAATGGGCAATATTCCAGATGGCTGCAGGATACGTTCGACGTTCCGTTGGTGATCCAGATGACAGATGACGAGAAGTTCCTGTGGAGGGACCTGGAACTGGAGGAGGCACACCGCCTCGCGCATGAGAACGCCAAAGACATCATCGCTTGTGGTTTTGACCTTGACAAGACTTTCATCTTCAGCGATTTTGAATATGTTGGGTAAGCCATATATTTTAAGTAACAATTGTTTTCGTAACAATGATTATAAGAGCACTGTTGGTCCAGTGATTTATAATGCTGCACTTTCCTGTGCTCTTTCTAAGAATCTGTGGATCGTGAGTTTCTTGGCCTATGAAATGTATCCGTGAAAATATGACGTCTTCAGAAGCAGTTACCACCAGGTTCAAGTTTCTGTTGTTTGTTTAGAGGCTCCATTGAGTTCTACAAGAATGTTTGTCGTGTTGAGAAGCTGGTGACGGTCAATCAAGCCAAGGGAATATTCGGCTTCACCGACAGTGACTGTATCGGCCAAATCAGTTTCCCGGCCATCCAAGCAGCACCTAGCTTCAGTTCCTCATTCCCACAGATCTTCAACGGGAGGAGTGACGTGCCCTGCCTCATACCCTGTGCCATAGATCAGGTAGTCAACGATGTGTCTCTTATATCAGTATATATTAATATTCATAATGCTGATTCTGAGGTGTTCTAACACAACAGACTATCGCGCGTGTGTCCTTTCACCAAAGCTCAAAAGTTATATTCTTGACACTATACTCCTAGGACCCGTATTTCCGGATGACACGTGACGCAGCGCCCCGGATGAAATGCCACAAACCAGCCCTAGTTCACTCCGTGTTCTTTCCTGCTCTGAAGGGGGCCAAAGGGAAGATGAGCTCCAGCGACCCTACATCATCAATCTTCCTCACTGACTCGAAAAAGGAGGTAGCTGACAAGGTGAGTTCACCAACGGCCATGCTAGTATCAGTGTGCACACAGATGCAGCTAAGCGCTTCAAGTGTTTATATTTTGCACAGCTAAAACAGTAAATTCTAATTCGTTGTCGTTTTATTTTACAGATTAACAAGTACGCATTTTCAGGCGGGCAAGACACGAAAGAGGATCAGGAGAAACATGGCGGTGACTGTTCCATTGATGTGTCCTACCAGTATCTCAGATTCTTCCTGGATGATGATGCCAAGCTCAAAGACATCGAAGAGGTGAGTGTAGCAGTGTTTTACGCGCGGATGGTAACAGAATAAGTTGTATGGCAATCTGGCATGACCTCTTTCGCTCTGTCGACCTACTCATGGTATTGTCCAGATTTCTAATGATTCTATGTTGTCATTTCTGTGTTATTCCTATCTCGACTATTCTTATTTCTACTATACCTATCTCGCAATATTACTATATCGTATGGTAATATCGCATCGTGCGATCACTTTGTCGCGATATTGCATTCATTATAGATAACGATAAAGCGATTCTCCTTTCCTCCAGGTCACTGATATACTGTTGAAGTTTATTCTGATGTTGCAGCGGTACACCCGTGGACAGATGATGACGGGAGAGCTGAAGCAAGAGCTCATCAAAGTCCTTCAGGCCCTGGTTTCCGGTCATCAAGAGCGGCGTGCGCAGATCTCCGACGCCACGGTTGACTACTACATGACACCCCGGAAACTCAAGTACAACTACACCGACCCCTCTAAGCCTCTGGGCACTTGCTGAGGGGAATAGCTGAGGCAAATTGTGGGTTGACAGGAATCTGTTACCATATATCGAATACATGTATTGTGATTTTGTATATCACATGTCATAATGACCGTTCTTTATCTTTCTAAGCTGATGTTTGTCTTGTAGCAATCTAGACGTGGAAATGAAATGTTTTTTTCTTTAAGTAAGACGATGGTAGAAGAAGAACTATGTTTAATGTAGCACATAGTAAACATGTAAAACAGGTTCAAGAAATATTTGAACAAACTGGAATCAAAAGAATGACCGATATGCTTGTCACATATATACTCTGCAAAAAAAGAAACGCACAGGTGAAAACTCAGGAATGTAAACACTTTATTTTGTTTCCAAATAAAACTTTAACTAATGATCGCACGAACGTAAAATTTCACATGGATGTTGTCAAGAGTCAGCTTTACAACATGCAGCTATCATTTGTCTCTGAAACCATTGCACCGGGCGTACAGATGGCGTGGAGGTCAGTACCTGTTGTGACCAGCTCGAGCTTGCAACACAGCTTGGCACCTCCTGTCCATGGACATGATCAGTCTTTGAATCCGTGCTTGGGGGATCCTCCTCCATTCCTCCTGCAAGGCTTGAGACAGTTGTTGCAACGTTTGGGGTTGAGGCTGACGACGTCGAACGCGTTTCCCAAGCTGGTCCCACAAATGCTCTATTGTGTTCAAATCGGGGGGATTTTGAAGGCCAGGGAAGAACTGTGATGTTCTGATTCGTCAGGTAGTCCATCGTGATGCGAGCCACGTGCGGTCTGGCGTTGTCCTGTTGGAAAACGTGACGTTGAGGGTTGATGACAGGTAAAAGATGACGTTGCAGAATTTCATCCCTGTAACGAATTGCAGTCAGGTTACCACGGACGTGCACCAAGTCACTTCTCCCGTTGTAAGAAATGGCCCCCCATACCATCACACTTCCCCCTCCAAATCTGTCCGCTTCAACTACACAATTACGGGCGTAACGTTCGTTTCTCCGTCTATAGACCCTCGTCCTACCATCGTGTCTTTGAAGTTGGAAACGAGATTCGTCGCTGAACCGAATTCGCTGCCAATGTCTCCAATTCCATCTCTGGACGTTCCTGCACCATCGAACACGTGCCAGGCGATGATGAGGTCGTAGTGTGCATCCTACGTGAGGTCGTCGAGGGCGTATCCCGTGCTGTCTGAGGCGATTTCTGATGGTCTGGGCGGAGACGCGGCGAAGACCTGGGACGTTCTCTGCTGTTTGTGTTGCTGGGACGGCCCGGTTACGTAAATGGAACACCCGGATGTAGCGGTCCTGTGCAGCATTGGTTACCCGTGGTCTACCACTCCGAGGTCGGTCGCGGGTCGAGCCCAGTTGATTGTAGCGCCTCCATAAACGGGAAATTGTTGTGTGATGCACGTTGAAGTGTCTTGCAACTGATGACTGAGATTCGCCAGCTTCAAGACGTCCGATGGCGATGTTCCGGTCAGCTTCGCTAAGTCGTGGCATGTTGAATTCGTCAGTAAACTGGCGTTGAAAGTGAATTGAACACGTTAAACTGCCTTCCTCATATACCCTACACACTGGTGCATAGGTGAAGCAACTTTCACGTGCATATCGTTCGAAGTGTCATTTACACGTGAAAATTTCATGATATTTTCAAAAACCATCATCAAACAACAATATTTCATGAAATGGTGTGTTTGAGCGATACTTAATGGATATGAACAAGTATACATTATGTTTGGTTAAAGTAACCGGGTTTTGTTTGCATAGAAATAAAATAAAGTTAATTTTACATTTCATTATCACCTGTGCGTTTCTTTTTTTGCAGAGTATATATTCAAACTTGGTTTTTCGTTATTTGTTTTAATTGCTTTACATTTGAATCGTTATGTTATCTTCTACATGCATTAACGAATAGTTTCGATACATGTATATGAACCGGCCCAAATATTAGGTCATAAATTATTTACAGTGTGCAGCAATACACAGAACCTGCTTAAAATATAATGCTAGTGCTTTTCGTGTTTGTATTATATTTTCATTGGTCATGTTCACCTGCAGAGAATAGAGACGTTCAAACATCGGCAAATAGGCAAAATTGACTTGACATGTTCTGTCCTTCCTGACATTCAAACATAGAATTTAAATAAATAATAACTTGATATCCTACATATTATTTAATGTTAGTTAAAACATTGTAGTTAGCAAAGGGGCCATGTTTCAGATCGCACAATTACAACATATATGTGAAATCCTAGTTAATGCTTTTTAGTTAATCTAAACAGTCTCAAGACTTACAGGAAGGTCTTTCTGGTAACTACATTAAACTGAAAGACGGTTCTTGGAGGCAAATGCAACCGGCGACTGACATCGCTCTAGAGAGATGTAGGGTTGGGTTAGGTTGAGATCACTCAATAGGGATTTGGGATTGGCTTTGGTTGCGATCACTCTAGAAGGATATGGGATGGGTTCGGTGGAGATCGGTTCAGAAGGATTTGGGATGGGTATAGGTTGAGATCACTCTAGATGGATTTTGGATGGGGTTTGGTTAAGATCACACCACAGGGAAATGGGATGGGGTAAGGCTGAGATCAGTCTAGAGGGATTTGGGATGGGGTTTGGTTCAGATCACTCCATCAGGATTTGGGATTGGGTAACGCTGACATCACTCCAGAGGGATTTGGCATGTTGTTAGGTTGAGGTCACTCTAGAGGGATGTGGGATTAGGTTTAGTTGAGATCATAGAAGGGGATTTGAGTCGGATAAGGATGAAATTACTCTAGAGGGACTTTTGATTGGGTGTGGTTGAGATCACTTCAGAGAGATTTGAGATGGGTTCAGGCTGAGATCACTCCAGAGGGATTTGGGATTCTTTTAAGAATATGTCAAACACACACACAACCACCGCACCCCACCCCCATCTCTGTCTCAGACAATTGCATAATAGCCAAGTCTAGTACAGGTTGTAACTGCATGTGTATTTGTTCACTCTCTTAGAAAAAAGTGCTTCATTAGAAATATCTCACTTCGGGCTGATGAAACCTGTCTGATATTTATTCATACTATACAAATGCTTAGGACACAAAGGGTTTTTAATAATGGACACTGCATGATTTTATGGGATACTGATAAGGTCCTAACTTGCGGACTAGAATTATAAGAACTTGCGAATCGACACAGTGTTCAATGTTATTTGGCACTTTTGGCCAAGTGGAATATGTTTCCACAAGAATATTTTCAAGATATACGTTTAACGTATATGGTTGATAACAAGATCTTGTGTTTCGTATTACGAAGTAAATGTTTGGAATACCTGATGCTGACAACATTACACATTTGTATCTTTTCTATGGATGAATAAAAATGTTCAACAAATACAATTTTGTACTCACTGTTATACCTGGCATCAAGGGATCTCTTATATCAATAAAAACTATCCTATACTCATGGATTTATTGTCTATATCCCACACATACTCAGGTAACTGGGAGCAAAATCACGCTATTTGTTTTCAACAGCAAAGTGTTTGTAACATATGTTATATTTGGGGTTACACTTTCTTAGTAGTACAGATTCTAGGGTTGATTCATCCGGGATTCGAATTTCGGGATTTGAGTCAGCACCTAAGTTGTGCAGTTGTAGTAAGACGCCTAGACCGCTCAGTCATCAGCTTCCACAAAAATGTTCAGACGGCACTGGACTTAGAACGGACTTGTGATAAGTGTTAAACAGGGGGTGTACACAAAGTCCGCAGTCTAGACTACCAGTTGTCCGACTTCCATTTTTGTGGAAGCCGCGGTGGCTGAGCGGTCTAGGCGTCTGACTTTGTGTGCTGGCGATTAGGTGCCGGACTCTGAGGGTGCGTGTTCGAATCCCGGATGGGACTCAACCCAAAAAGTACTAGAATCTGTACTTTACTAAGAAAGTGTAATCCCAAATATAACATATGTTACATTTGACCACTTTCTAAAATGGCATTGTGTATTTCATAGCAAAGTGTTTTATCAATACTATAACATTAAAATTGCTCAGCGACTACAGGTGTACCTAAATTGGAACAGTATTTTCTTTGCACAGAACCTAGTTACTTATGTCAACACGTCTATTGAAACCTCGTGTATGGTGGTCATGATTAGAACAAATCCGTGGGTAAAGGGTCATTAAATAATGATAACAGTTTATGTAAAATAGATCTTCTGTGTTTGTGCCTATACAGATGAGGTGAAATTGGGTTTAACGTCGTGCTTGAGAATTTTTGGCTCATATGACGACGTGCATGCGTGTGTATGTGTATGTGCGGCTGCTTGTACTAGCCCAGACTTAAGCTGGTTTTATAGTGCTAGCTCACTGAGATACCATGCCGCAGTGAAGCATGAATACCCCACTCAGACGCATAATACTGAATCCGAGCCGACCAGTCCTTGTTGTGCCCATTAATGCCGAGCGCAAGGCAGGGACCAACAAGTACCATATGTTAACGTCTTTTGGTATGACGCGGTCGGGGATCGAACCTGCGACCTTTCGCTCTCCGGGCGGACGCTCTAACCACTACACCACGGAATCGGTCTGTGCCTATACAGACATAATTATGTGTGTTTGAATGTTGTATTGGGACGTTGCGTTGTTCTTTGGCAATGTCTGAAAGGAGTAAACTCTATAACGGTGAGGCGAATAAAATCGATAAAGGTGAGTTGAATAAGGTTTATCGCCCCGGTCAAGATCACAGCAACGTAGCAATGCGGACCTATATCTAAGAATCTGAAGTAACAAGTCTTGAAAAATGCCGGTTTTGATATGCTTGACCAGTTACACAACACTGCACTGTTTAACATGAGATATCCCAAGTAGACACAATACTGTCACCAAGTAGGCCCGATTTCACCAAGACTCTCGCAACGGAACAGCCTGATCCGCGATATTAACTGATTAAAGTCTCAACAAGCAAGGCGATCGGAATGGCTCACGATCACACATTGACAACCCAGACGCTTGACGCTTCTGAAAAGTATTTCCAAATCCAAATGACCAAATGTTAAACTCAAACATATACTTAACCCAACACACTTCATTAACTTTCATTGAAAAGTTAAGTTCATTAACGTTCGTGTGGAAGATAAGCCTGGGGTATTTGGACATTTGATCAAGTTCCACAGTAAATTAAATATTTAAAGTTTGTTTTGTATAAAAGAGGCGACCAAACCACTAAGAGACGAACTTAAATGCCACATCGCATAATGTATATTTCCATTATCCAATGACAAGAACATTTTCAAAACGGTAGTCTTTTAGAGTGCGTTATTATAGATGGCCACAGAGCTCAGCCATCTTAAAACGTTCCCAATATTAATTAATGTGAGAATTGATAGTGATTAAGCCCCAGACTATTCATATATATTTTGAAACATTCAAAATATTGATTACAAAATACATAGTTTCGAAAAAGACAAATAAAAGAATAGCACTGAATTTATTGTAAGCTGTTGCATATTGCCCTAGTCATTGTTTGGAAATCGATGCGACTCTTCAAAATTGTATGGTTGTCACGGTGTAGAAACAGTAGACAACTCCTGGAAATAGCGGTTATTATTATACGTACAATGTGTTTGAGGGTGCGCTTTGTTTGCAGTGGGATCATGTCACCCTGACACAGGTTGTTCAATGCATTCCCCCGAGAAACCTGAATTACCATAAGGTATACAAAGAGAAGTGACACTATGTAATTATGAATTGCAGTGTGTCTCTAAATACAGCCTCCCTCCTACAGCGATAAGTCGTCACGCCCCGTACCTCCTCAAATCATGATGCGTACTAAATCAACTAAACAGTAGTAATAAGCTTGTAAATATGAGGTGGGGAAGCAAAATCAAGCTTTCGATGTAATGGACAATGGGCACACGGATCTAAAGCCGCTCAAATTTGTCACTATAGTAATGTGTATGACCCTTGCGAGATATACAATAAAAAAACGAGAAGGTCCGGGTTAGAATTGGTCTTCAGCAACCAATGCTTGCCGTAAGAGGTGACTAACGGGATCAGGTGGTCAGGCTAACTGACTTGGTTGACACATGTCACCATATCGATTACGTAGAAGATGCTCATGATATTTATCACTGGATTGTCTGGTCCAGACTCGATTATTTGCTGACCGCTGCCATATACCTGGAATATTGCCGAGTATGGCGTAAAACCAAGCTCACTACTCACTACCACCGATATAGTGTTGACGTTTACGCTGGTATTACAGCGGTACACCCGTGGACAGATGATGACTGGAGAGCTGAAGCAAGAGCTCCTGACTCGATTATTTGCTGACCGCCGCAAAATAGCTGGAATCTTGCCGAGTGCGACGTAAAACAACAAGCACACAAAAACTCCACGGAGCACAGAAAACGTCAGTCGGCTGATGACGTCACGTGGGACACGTCACCATTCTTTTTGGAGGGCATGAATCAGTTGTTGTTGGTAGGCTGGGGTTGTTGTCGCTGTTGATAATCCATGGGATGCCACAGCAACAGCTACAAGGTGTTCTGTACAAATCCGGGTTTGTGGGGTTTACTTTCCACAAAAAACAATTTTTCCAAATCTCACTTTCTCTTAAAGTGAATAAAACTACATTATAGTTGGCACCATGAAGTTCCTTCTCAGTTGTGGAAGCATAATAAGCTGAAGGAGACTACTGCCATATGAGTTATCTCCCTTTGTGACCCTGTCCTATGAAGTCAACATGGCAGCGATGACTTGCAAAAGTGTGAGGGTGATCGAGTGTTATGGCTCGATTTCATCTAAACACGGACACATCCAGTGGAAATGATTATGCGGATTTGTGCATAAATGAATAAACTGCAGCTACAAGACAGGTTTGGATTTTTTAGCAAACGTTTTCCATTTATTTTAAGTGCATATCGTTCCGACGTGAAACTCGTAGGAATTCTGCGCCGAGAAATTAGGCTTTGCCGGTTCAACGTTGGGTAGGCCATAGTAAATATCCCACAATAAATGAGGCCTACCAAGACGTTTAACGTTGTTGAACTAGAGTTGACGGTGAGTTTAACAATATTTTCAAGTGTTGACATATCTCTCTAAATATTTTGATTGAAAATACTTTATAAAATGTGACATCAATTAAATCAGCTTTAAGAGGCCACTTGCCTCCTTAGCATTGTCTTGATTTTTTATATGTTTTGTCATTTCCCTGTGCCATAGATAAGGTAGTCAACGATGTGTCACTTATATCAGTACATATTGATATTCATAATGCTGATTCTGAGGTTGTTCTAACACAACAGACTATCGCGCGTGTGCCCTTTTCACCAAAGCTCAAAAATTATATTCTTGATACTGTACTCCTAGGACCCGTATTTCCGGATGACACGTGACGCAGCGCCCCGGATGAAATGCCACAAACCAGTCCTAGTTCACTCCGTGTTCTTTCCTGCTCTGAAGGGGGCCAAAGGGAAGATGAGCTCCAGCGACCCTACATCATCAATCTTCCTCACTGACTCGATAAAGGAGATAGCTGACAAGGTGAGTTCACCAACGGCCATGCTAGTATCAGTGTGCACACAGATCCAGCTTAGCGCTTCAAGTGTTTATAATATGCACAGCTAAAACAGTAAAGTCTAATTCGTTGTCGTTTTACTTTACAGATAAACAAGTACGCATTTTCAGGCGGGCAAGACACGAAAGAGGATCAGGAGAAACGTGGCGGTGACTGTTCCATTGATGTGTCCTACCAGTATCTCAGATTCTTCCTGCATGATGATGTCAAGCTCAAAGACATTGAAGAGGTGAGTGTAGCAGTGTTTTACGCGCGGATGGTAACAGAATAAGTTGTATGACAATCTGGCATGACCTCTTTCGCTCTGTCGACTTGCTCGTGGTATTGTCCAGATTTCTAATGATTCTATGTTGTCATTTCTGTGTTATTCCTATCTCGACTATTCCTATTTCGACTATACCTATCTCGCAATATTACTATATCGTATGGTAATATCGCATCGTGAGATCACTTTGTCGCGATATTGCATTCATTATAGACAACGATAAAGCGATTCTCCTTTCCTCCAGGTCATTGATATACTGTTGAAGTTTATTTTGATGTTGCAGCGGTACACCCGTGGACAGATGATGACGGGAGAGCTGAAGCAAGAGCTCATCAAAGTCCTTCAGGCCCTGGTTTCCGGTCATCAAGAGTGGCGTGCACAGATCTCTGACGCCACGGTTGACTACTACATGACACCCCGGAAACTCAAGTACAACTACACCGACCCCTCTAAGTCTCTGGGCACTTGCTGAGGTGAATAGCTGAGGCAAATTGTGGGTTGACAGGAATCTGTTACCATATATCGAATACATGTATTGTGATTTTGTATATCACATGTCACAATGACCGTTCTTTATCTTTCTAAGCTAATCTTTGTCTTGTAGCAATCTAGACGTGGAAATGAAATGGGTTTTTTTTCAGTAAGACAATGGTAGAAGAAGAACTATGTTTAATGTAGCACATAGTAAACGTGTAAATCAGGTTCAAGAAATATTTGAACAAACTGGAATCAAAAGAATGACCGATATGCTTGTCACATATATATATTCAAACTTGGTTTTCCGTTATTTGTTTTAATTGCTATACATTTGAATCGTTATGTTATCTTCTACATGCATCAACGAATGGTTTCGATACATGTATATGAACCGGCCCAAATATTAGGTCATAAATTATTTACAATGTGCAGCAATACACAGAACCTGCTTAAAATATAATGCTACTGCTTTTCGTGTTTGTATTATATTTTCATTGGTCATGTTCACCTGCAGAGAATAGAAACGTTCAAACATCGGCAAATAGGCAAAATTGACTTGACATGTTCTGTCCTTCCTGACATTCAAACATAGAATTTAAATAAACAAGAAGACAAAGTCATCAATATCCCCCGCAATGGCAAAATACTCTTCATGATTGTGTCTACGAGTTATGATTATGTCAAATATTTAGGTGTGTACATAGAAAAGTGGAAGGAGAGTATTGAAAGGGTTTAAAAGTTCTGCTCCCGAAAAGAGCACAACCACCAATTTCAGGCTAAGTCAAACTTGTTGCCATGGAAACGCCAAAAATAGTTTATTAGGAATTCCAAAACTACCAAAAGGCACCAGTACACCACCAGATCTATTTATGTGCCAAGTTTGGTGAAGAAATAGTGAAAAGTTTTAGAGTTCAGCTCCGGAAAAGAGCACTACTACAATTTCAGGCTAAGTCAAACTTATTGCCACGGAAACGCCAAAAATATTTTATTCAGAATTCAAAAACTACCAAAAGGCACCAGTATACCACCAGATCTATCTATGTGCCAAGTTTGGTGACGACATATTGAACGGTTTTAGAGTTCTGCTCCGGAAAAGAGCACTTCCACCAATTGCAGTCTAAGTCGAACTTGTTGCCATGGAAATGCCAAAAATATTTAATTCAGAATTCCAAAACTACCAAAAGGCACCAGTACACCACCAGATCTATCTATGTGCCAAGTTTGGTGACGACATATTGAACGGTTTTAGAGTTCTGCTCCGGAAAAGAGCACTACCACCAATTTCAGTCTAAGTCGAACTTGTTGCCATGGAAACGCCAAAACTATTTTATTCAGAATTCCAAAACTACCAAAAGGCACCAGTACACCACCAGATCTATCTATGTGCCAAGCTTGGTGAAGACATATTGAACAGTTTTAGAGTTCTGCTCCGGAAAAGAGCACTACCACCAATTTCAGTCTAAGTCGAACTTTTTGCCATGGAAACGCCAAAAATATTTAATTCAGAATTCCAAAACTACCAAAAGGCACCAGTACACCACCAGATCCATGTATGTGCCAAGTTTGGTGAAGAAATATTGAACGGTTTTAGAGTTCTGCTCCGGAAAAGACAAATGTACACGGACGGACGGACGGACGGACGCACGCACGCACGCACGCACGGACGGAGTCCATTTTAATACCCCCCGCAAAACGCGTTGCGGGGGATAATAATAACTTGATATCCTACATATTATTTAATGTTAGTTAAAACATTGTAGTTAGCAAAGGGGCCATGTTTCAGATCGCACAATTAGAACATATATGTGAAATCCTAGTTAATGCTTTTTAGTTAATCTAAACAGTCTCAAGACTTACAGGGAGGTCTGTGTGGTAACTACATTAAACTGGAAGACGGTTGTTGGCGGCAAATGCAACCGGCGACTGATATCGCTCTAGAGAGATGGAGGGTTGGGTTAGGTTGAGATCACTCAATAGGGATTTGGGATTGGCTTTGGTTGCGATCACTCTAGGAGGATTTGGGATGGGTATAGGTTGAGATCACTCTAGATGGATTTTGGATGGGGTTTGGTTAAGATCAGTTCACAGGGATTTGGGATGGGGTAAAGCTGAGATCAGTCTAGAATGATTTGGGATGGGTTTAGGTTGACATCACTCCACAGGGAAATGGGATGGGGTAAGGCTGAGATCAGTCTAGAGGGATTTGGGATGGGGTTTGGTTCAGATCACTCCATCGGGATTTGGGATTGGGTAACGCTGACTTCACTCCAGAGGGATTTGACATGCTGTTAGGTTGAGGTCACTCTAGAGGGATGTGGGATTAGGTTTGGTTGAGACCATAGAAGGGGATTGGAAGGGGATCGAATAAGGATGAAATTACTCTAGAGGGATTTTTGATTGGGTGTGGTTGAGATCACTCCAGAGAGATTTGGGATGGGTTCAGGCTGAGATCACTCCAGAGGGATTTGAGATTCTTTTAAGCATGTGTCAAACACAAACACAACCCCCACCCCACCCCACCACCACCCCACCCACCCCACCCCCATCTCTGTCTCAGACAATTGCATAATAGCCAAGTCTAGTACAGGTTGTAACTGCATGTGTATTTGTTCACTCTCTTAGAAAAAAGTGCTTCATTAGAAATATCTCACTTCGGGCTGATGAAACCTGTCTGATATTTATTCATACTATACAAATGCTTATGACACAAAGGGTTTTTAATAATGGACACTGCATGACTTTATGGGATACTAACAAGGTCCTAACTTGCGGACTAGAATTCTAAGAACTTGCGAATCGACACAGTTTTCAATGCTATTTTGCATTTCTGGCCAAGTGGAATATGTTTCCACAAGAATATGTTCAAGATATACGTTTTGGTTGATAACAAGATCTTGTGTTTCGCATTACGAAGTAAATGTTTTGAATACCTGATGCTGACAACATTACACATTTGTATTTTTTCTATGCATGAATAAAAATGTTCAATAAATACAATTTTGTACTCACTGTTATACCTGACATCAAGGGATCTCTTATATCAATAAAAACTATCCTATACTCATGGATTTATTGTCTATATCCCACACATACTCAGGTAATTGGGAGCAAAATCACGCTATTTGCCTTCAACAGCAAAGTGTTATATCAATACTATAACATTAAAATTGCTCAGCGACTACAGGTGTACCTCACTTGGAACAGTATTTTCTTTGCACAGAACCCAGTAACTTATGTCAACACGTCTATTGAAACCTCGTGTATGGTGGTCATGATTAGAACAAATCCATGGGTAAAGGGTCATTAAATAATGATAACAGTTTATGTAAAATAGATCTTCTGTGTTTGTGCCTATACAGGTGAGGTGAGGTGAAATTGGGTTTAACGTCGTGCTTGAGAATATTTGGCTCATATGACGACGTGCATGCGTGTGTGTATGTGTATGTGCGGCTGCTTGTACTAGCCCAGACTTAAGCTGGTTTTATAGTGCTAGCTCACTGAGATACCATGCCGCAGTGAAGCATGAATACCCCACTCAGACGCATTATACTGACTCCGAGCCGACCAGTCCTCGTTGTGCCCATTAATGCCGAGCGCAAGGCAGGGACCAACAAGTAACAATCTGAAGTAACTAGTCTTGAAAAATGCCGGTTTTGACATGCTTGCCCAGTTACACAACACTGCACTGTTTAACATGAGATATCCCAAGCAGACATAATACGCTATCACCAAGTAGGCCCGATTTCACCAAGACTCTCGGTACGGCACAGCATGATCTGCGATATTAACTGATTAAAGTCTCAACAGGCCAAGGCGTTCGGAATGACTCACGATCACACATTGACAACCCAGACGCTTGACGCTTAAGAAAAGTATTTCTAAATCCAAATGACCAAATGTAAAACTATATTTCAACATATTTCATTAACTTTCATTGAAAAGTTAAGTTCATTAACGTTCGTTTGGAAGATAAGCCTGGGGTATTTGGACATTTGATCAAGTTCCACTGTAAATTAAATATTTAAAGTTTGTTTTATATAAAAGTGGCGACCAAACCACTAAGAGACGAACTTAAATGCCACATCACATAATGTATATTTCCATTATCCAATGACAAGAACATTTTCAAAACGGTAGTCTTTTAGAGTGCGTTATTATAGATGGCCACAGAGCTCAGCCATCTTAAAACGTTCCCAATATTAATTAATGTGAGAATTATATTGATTACAAAATACATAGTTTCGAAAAAGACAAATAAAAGAATAACACTGAATTTATTGTAACCTGTTGCATATTGCCTATAGTCATTGTTTGGAAATCGATGCGACTCTTCAACATTGTATGGTTGTCACGGTGTAGAAACAGTAAACAACTGCTGGAGATAGCGGTTATTTGTGAACGTCCAATGTGTTTGAGGGTGCGCTTTGTTTGCAGTGGGCACACAGGTTGTTCAATGCATTCCCCGAGAAACCTGAATTACCTTAAGGCATACAAAGAGAAGTGACACTATGTATTTATTAATTGCAGTGTGTCTCTAAATACAGCCTCCCTCCTACAGCGATAGGTCGTAACGCCCCGTACCTCCTCTCCCTCCTAAATCAAGCGAAACATAGGATCGTAAATTTGAGGTGGGAAGCAAAATCGCTTTCGATGTAATGGACGATGGGCCACGGATCTGAAGCCCTCAAATTTGTCAGCGTATGACCCTTGCGAGATATACATTACAAAACGTAAGGTCCGGGTTAGAATTGGTCTCCTACAGCGATAGGTCGTAAGCAACAGCAAGGTGTACCTCCTCAAATCACGATGCGTACTAAATCAACTAAACAGTAGTAATAAGCTTGTAAATTTGAGGTGGGGAAGCAAAATCAAGCTTTCGATGTAATGGACAATGGGCACACGGATCTAAAGCCGCTCAAGTTTGTCACTATCATAATGTGTATGACCCTTGCGAGATATACGTTAAGAAACGTGAAGCTCCGGGTTAGAATTGGTCTTCAGCAACCAATGCTTGCCGTAAGAGGTGACTAATGGGATCAGGTGGTCAGGCTCGCTGACTTGGTTGACACATATCATCATATCGATTACGTAGAAGATGCTCATGATATTTATCACTGGATTGTCTGGTTCAGACTCGATTATTTGCTGACCGTTGCCATATAGCTGGAATATTGCCGAGTACGGCGTAAAACCAAGCTCACTACTCACTACCACCGATATAGTGTTGAAGTTTACTCTGGTATTACAGCGGTA